AACTGAAAATGTTTGCTTTCTGAAAATAATTTAGAAATAGATATCAGTGGAATTTAGGTCATAACCAAATACCACAAAGAAAGTAGGCCCTGGGATAAGTGTTCAGACTGTACTATATACTCCCTAACCCAGCAGAATCACAGCTGAAAAACTAGACCAATCCACTTAAGAAATGTACATGGCTATTGCAAGTACAACTTAATATTAGATATATACTTAAAAGTCAACCTTTCTTCATTTTATTTATTTACTTATTCATTTATTCATTCAAAAAATATTGAGAAACTACTATACACCATGTATTGTTCTAGATACAGGAATATAACAATTAACAAAACAACAAAACCCTTCCCTATGAAGCTTATTCTGGTGCAGAAGACACACATATATATAAATAGAGAATATAATATCAGACAGTATAAATGGCTATTAAAAATATAACAGGGAAATTTTAAGAAGGATAATTTTACTAAGAAACTACTACATACGAAACAAATTTCAGTAGGATTGCCACACAGGAAAACCTTATGAGGACAGAGATCTAATAAAACTGTTACAGGTGAGACTCAGGCTCTTTTGACAGGTGGGTGAAAAAAAATAATACTCAAAATTTTTATCAGAGTAAAATTAGATTGGAAATACTTAAAGCATTGTCAACACATTACATTCTTCTAATTTCATTTTTAAACTCTTAGTTCACAGTTGATTTAGTCACTTATGGGTCCTGTCCTCATTGCCCTTCCTGGAAAATATCTATACGGTTGTGGCCTCTAAAGGTTTACCTTTGAATTAATCAGAAGCACACTCACTGGCAGGTTGTGAGACTATTTCAACTTTTTCATGAAGCTAGGATCCTTGCCTATGTTTCTAAAGGTAGCATGGTAGAATAGAAAGAATAAAATATTAGAAACAGAAGACTTCCAATCTGGTATCAATCCTGCCTTTATGATCCATGTGACTCTGGGCATTAACTACTTTATAGGGCTGCAGTAAGGATCAGTGAGATTATTAGGGAAGGCAAAATAATGCTCCTCTTCCCCAAAGATGTCTGCATCCTAATCCCGGGAAACTGAATGTTAGGTTACATGGTAATGGAGAAATAGGTTGCTGATGGAATTAAGAGTGCTAATCAGGTAACCTTGAAATGGAGAGTTTATCCCAGATTAGTCAAGTGGGACCAATGTAATCACAAGGGTTCTCTTAAGTGGAAGAGGGAAGCAGGAGAGAGAGAACCAGAGAGCTGGCAGCATGAAAATGTCTTAGCCAATGTTGCTGGCTTCGAAGCCAAAAAATGTGGGCAACCTGTAGAATATGGAAAAGGCTAGTTAACGGATTTTCCCTTAGAGCCTCCAGAAAGAACACAGCTCTGTAGATCTATTTTAGATTTCTGACCTCTAGGACTATAAGAGAATAAATTTATGTCCTTTTATGCCAGTAAAAATGTAGTAATTTGTTACAGCAGCAATTAGAAACAATAATATGCAAAACTATTTTGAACTTGGTGGGAAATTATATAAGTTGAAATATTATTCCAAGATGACATTTCAGCTTAGTCTTTCTAGCAGCCTTGATGGTAGACAACTTGGTGACTGGGAGGTATTCAGATCTGTATCATATTTCCTTGTCAAAGGCAGATGCCTTCCTGTTTCAATGCCTGACTATTTTTGCTTTTAGCCCTCATTTTATTTGATTACTACGTAATTATCAAACCACCTCCAGCCACCTGCCTTTCTACTTCCCTAGTTTCTCTTCCATTGCTAACTATTCTGGTTTTCCCAAAGGGACAGTTAAGAAATCTTTTTGCTGAGTCACAGTATTACAGCAAAATTATTTTCAGATAATTCCTACTTTGTTAATGTGTTATTCTCTAAGAACAACTGTGCGAAGGAATATGCTGAATATATATCTAAATACACACACATATATGCATATACATATGTTTATGAATACCTATCAAGTTTTATAGTTCTCTCATCAGTTTGAATGTTAGTGGGTTTTCTTCCACACGATAAAATTATTTTTAATTTATGAAGCAGAACTAAAATTTCATGGTTAGAACATTCTTATTAATCCCCAATTTACGAAATAATTTAGTAATGAAAATCTTAGTGTTGTATTAAGGAAATAAAACACATGAATGCATGTTTTTAACTCTTCAGAAAATAACATTCAAAAGTTAAATTGATACACAGTGATAAATGCGCCAATCTTTTTATAATGGTTCTCAGGCCAATCATGAAATAACATTTTTTTCATGCTCTTTTAGCACTCACTGACACATAACAGGCCTATTTCTTTTTATTACAACTTATTTAATACCTTTATATTTCTTATTGCCCTTTTACCTTTTATTTTTTATTTTAGGGGTAGTATTTCTGTGCCTGCTGATAATATCCTCAAACTATCAAAGCTTCTCATCTAAACTTCATTTTCAATTTGTACTTAACTTTTCTTCCCACAAAATCAAGCAGATTTGGGAGGGGAGATGGAAGAATACATTAGGCACAAATACATGCACAAAGACACACACAGAGGCACACCAGATATTGCATATCCTGGGTCTCTCTCTGGAATGCTTTATAGGGGAAACAAGCCAAATGTTGAGAGACATAATACCCTGTACTTCAACTGTATAGTTAATAAGATTCAGAAAAATATCTCATTTAATAACAATATCATAAATATTCTGTATAGGGAGAAGTTTCACATTTATTAAGCACTGGCCAGCAGTATACTCCCCATATCATATTTTCATAGTATCTGGAAATGATGGGCAACTCTTATTTTTATCTTTAAAAGAGAATTACAATTACAATATTACACAGTAGGAAAGAGTGTTGTCTAGGGAGATGTGCAAGGCTGTGAAGTGTTACTGTGTTACTACAAAAATTAACAGTGATTTCATGTCTATCAAATCTAGCAATAAAAAATTTTAGGTTGCATTTCATGTATTTTGGGGTTTTTTTTCATTTTGTTTTTTCTAGTGATTAGTTTTTAATTTTATTTTACAAAAGTATTGGTCTATGACTTACTGGAAAAACAAAACAAAATAAAACTGGTCCTTTACCAGACAGCTTGAGCAGCAGTGTTAACAGAAGGTGAGTGCTGGCTTCTAAAAACTAATGTATGGCAGTACTATAAAACAATACTTGAAGTATTTATTACAACATATACTAAAATCTATCCCTTCAAGCCACTTATAAAATGACTTTAAATTACCAGGATTTAATGTGGTTCCATTTCAAGACTGTTTCACCAATCCTAGACCCAAGATATATATATATATATATATATATATATACACATAAGATAAAAGGATAGAAAAAATTCAGAGCTCAATTAAATAACTTCCTGGGTTTTTTTTGTGTGTGTGTCTGGTCAGTATGGGGATCCGACCCCGTGACCCTGGTGTTACAAGGCTGTGCTCTAACCAACTGAGCTAACTGGCCAGCCTAAGTAACTTCTTTAACTCTGCCAGCTGTATTCCACCATTCTAATTGATTTGTATATACTTCACTTTAAAAATTAGTTTTATAAAAAAAAGAGAAAAATGACTATAAAAGTTCAATAGAAAGGGTTAGTTATAAAGGTTTCAGAGTCCATCCCTTATCCCCCCAAAACCCTGAAAATATAGAATAAAGAATCATGATCTGATCTGTGATCACTTGATGAGTGTGATGACAAGACTATTGTCCGAGATCCTTTAGAAAGAATCACAACTATACACCCAAAAGAATCAAAAACAGGGACTCAAACAAATGCTTGTGCATGAATGTTTGTAGCACCACTATTCATAGTAGCCAAAAGTTAGAACAATTCAAATGTCTTCAACAGATTAATGGATAAATAAAATGTAGTATATAGTACAGTAGAATATTATTCAGTCATAAAAAGGAATGAAATACTGACACATGCTAAAATGTGCATGAACTTTGGAAACATTATGCTAAGTGAAAGAAGCCAGACACAAAAGGTCATATATTTTATAATTCCATTTATATGAATTATCCAGAATAGGGAAATCCATACAAACAAAAAGCAGATTGGTGGTTGCTAATGGCTTGGGTGAGGATGGAGAGTCACTGTGTAATAGAAAAGGGGATTTATTTTTGAGTGATGAAAATATTTTTGAACTAGAAAGAGGTAGTGTGCAATACTGTGACTGTATTAAATGCCACTGAATTTTCACTTTGAAATGGTTACTTTTATTATATGAATGCCACCTCAATTAAAAAAAGATGTTTTTTTTTGATGTGCATTTTTTGTGTCAGTACTGACTGCTTGCCCTGTTGATTAACCACCAATAAGATATGTTTTTGTTATTCTCTGAAAATTAACTCCATCACACACAGTAAACTATGTCAGGATTTATATGTGGGGAAGGCCATTTACTACTAAACAGTACAGATAAAACTGGAAATGAGAAGAAATAAAATGAGGAGAAATAAAATTTAAAGAAATAATAAAAATAAAAGCAATTAGTGAAATTTAAAAAATTAGGGAAGAGGGAAGAGAAAAATGAAAGAGAAGAAACATTGAGGACTAAAAACGAAATCATTACAAATAGAGTCTGAGTCAAGAAGAAAAAAGACTGCAACTGTGATGGAGTATCTGCATATTTAAATCAACTAGAAAGTGATTAAACACCTATGAAAGAATAAAAAGTCTTCGAAGCCAGAAAGACATAGTCTCAATGTACCTCTCAAAAGTCAAACAAGCAAACAAAAAGCCCCTCACACCTTAATATACTGGAATTTCAGAGCTATAAAATTACTCTTCTTGGGAACCACACACTTATTTAAATGCCAATTGACAAACTCCACTTTGGAGCTGTCTTCAGAGTTAGTTTTAAGGAAAGATTAATTTCGTTACTTCACATTTATATCACATTTTAACCCAAAACATTATTTTAGCTGCTTCTAGAAGAAAAACAATTTTTCTAGCCTTGTGTATCATTGACACATTAAACTAGAATTAATCACTCATAAAACAATACTTACATATTCCTTTACGTTTTTTGTTTTCACAGCTTTGTATGAATAATATGCAGGATAAAGCATTCCAAACACCAGCCTAAAAATAAAAAGTATGAAAAGACCAATCAAACACAACAATGGTTCTAACATCTCATGAAAATTTAACCTAATCGAAAAGTAGAAGTATGTAGAAAATGAGTAAATGTAAATTTGTGCATAAACTAATGTGCAGAAAAGCAAAGTAAAATTACATTTTTTTTTTTTTACAAAAAGGTTGACTTCAATATTTTATACCCAGTTTTATGGAAATAAAAGATTTATCTTTTAAAAAAATTAACATTTGAAACGTTTTTTCTTATCACAAAAAAATATTCTGTGGTTTCTCACAGAACACTTGGAAAATGTAGAAAATCACCAAAAATAAAATTAAAATTGCTCCAACTCTGCCAGTCAGAGATGACCACAGGCAACATTTTATTGCATGCAAATACCACTTTTTATCTGTGTGTAGTATATCTAAAACATAAACATAACACATACACACACACACAATTTGTGTTAATGAAAACTTGGTCCACTCCACTAGTTAGAAAGGCAGTGGCTAGTAATTATGGAAGAGCTGTGAAACAATACTTCATATATTAATTACAATATGCATTAAAATAACTCTCTTTAAGCATTTATAAAATGACTTTAAATCACTAATAGGACTTAATTTATGCCATGTGTTAAGATCACCAAATCCCAGATCCAAGAAACACGTACGTACATATAATGAAGGGAAAGACACGGAACTGCTGTGACATAGCAACTGGCATTTCACACAATATGTAATGCAATTTTTGTCCTTAAACATTATTCTACAGTATTATTCTTAATGTTTGCAGTGCATCGCACATTGAAGTGCCCATACTTTATTTAAACAATCCTGTACTTATTGGCTTTTGGTTAATTTCTGGGTTTTTGCTATTGCACGTAACATTGTGAAAAACATTTTTGTAAATACTGATATTCACTTCCTGGTTGTGATGTTGCTGCTTCAAAGGGCACACACATTTTTACCTATTACCAGAATGCTCTCTAGAGAGGTTGTTTGTAAAAAGTCCATTTTACATTCCTATACATTGCCAAAAAAAAAAAAAAAAAAAAAAAAGGTTGTCAGCTAAACAGGAAAAATAATCTTACAGCTGTTTTAAAGTGCATTTCTGAATACCAGTAAGTTTGAGTATTTTTCAAGTGTTTACTGGTCTTTTGATGCATGGGTGTATCATATGCTTTTGTCTAGGGGGGGGGGCAACTGTCTTAAATAGCCTTTTTATTTTAGAATAATTTCAGTTTTACAGAAAAGTTGGGAAGATAATACAAATAGTTCCCAAATACTCCCTACCCAGTTTCCCCTATTATTAACATCTTATATTGCTATGGTACATTTGTCACAATAAACTGATATGGATATACTATTTATGAACTAAACTCCATACTTTATTCAGATTTCCTTAGCTTTTACCTAGTATCCTTTTTTTGTTTTCTGGATCCCATCCAGGATAGCACATTACATTTAGTTGTCTACTTAGTTCTCTTAGCTGAGGAATAGTGGTCAAGAATGTCCTAGGATGCTTCTCTACTGGCATTTGTTTGATATGCTTCTCATGATTAGACTGAGCTATGCATTTTTGGGATAAGACCACAGAGGTCAAGTACCCCTCTGAGGGGAAAAAAGAATAATTTAGTCAGGCTCCCTCCCTCAGGTCTGGCTGGGGGGTTGAGCAGCACATTTCTTGTAAACGAGTTGTGTGTGGGTGGAGTTAGTGCGCATGTGTGCCAATGTATCTTTTCAGTTTTGTAGCTGTTGTGTGTTCTGCAGTTCTGAAGCAGGCTGGCCAGCAGAGAGCTGGTCTCTAAAAATAGAGCATATTTACTCTGCTGGCAGCTGCTCAGTTTTCAGGTTTTTCTTTGGTCTTTGCCGGTAGCAGTTGAGTTTCTGAGTTTCTTTGTACTGCCTAGTTCTTAGACGTGTGTACGCTGAATAAAGACTATTCCTACTTCAACCAAGGCTCCAAGGACCTTTCTGCAGGTTACCTAGCTCATAGGCCTGTGTGTGAAGGGTTTGTGAATGGCATCAAGGAGTCTGTGAGCTCCAGACCCTAGCCCCAGCTCTACAATTGGCATAGTTGGCAGGATTACGCCACACCTTCTTATTATGTCAAGGGCACATAACTAATCAACATGACTTACCACTGTTAATGTTAACCTTGACCACCATGCTGAGGTGGTGTTTCATCAGATTTTGCCATTGTAAAGATATTCCTTCCCCCCAACTTTCCATACTGTATTCTTTGGAAGGAAGTCACTATGCACAGCCCACACTTGAATGGGGAGTTATGATCCATCTCCTTGAGAGCAGAGATCCTACATAAATTATTTGAAACTCTTCTGCACAGGAGACTTGCCTTTTCTCCCCCAGTTACTTAGTTATTCCATGATTTATTTATACCAGTACGGACTCATCACTATTTATTTCACACCTTGGGTTATAATCCAATACTACTTTGTTTTGTTGCTCAAAGCTTCGGCCATTGAGATATCTTTCAGTTAGCGCCTTTGATATCTCTTTTTCATTGTGAGTTTTTTTGAGTACTTTGTTACTTTCTAGTACTACATCATGCTCCTGGGCTTATCTTGTATAATACTACTTTGTTTTGTTGCTCAAAGCTTCGGCCATTGAGATATCTTTCAGTTAGCGCCTTTGATATCTCTTTTTCATTGTGAGGTTTTTTTGAGTACTTTGTTACTTTCTAGTACTACATCATGCTCCTGGGCTTATCTTGTATATTTCCTGTACCGTTTCCAGAATCTGCCATTTTTCTAAGGAATCTAGTTCCTTTTATTGGAGAATGGTATTTGAAACCAAGATCTGGGTGCAGGGGTGCTCACTGCTACTGGAGTATTGTTGATTCTAGGTCTTTCTTTGTCTACTTTCTATGTTAACTGATATTTTGATAGGTTATTGTTATCTTTTGATTTTCTTTAAGAATTTTGCTGAAATGCATGCATATTGTATATTCGTTTATTAGTGCTGCCATAACAAAATACCACAGACTGGGTAGCATCAACAATAGAAATTTATTTTCTCACAGTTTTGGAGGTTAGAAGTCCACCAAGATAGAGGTGTCAGCAGGTTTGGTTCTTCTGAGGACTCTTTTTTTGGCTTGTAGCTTTCTAGCTGTGTCCTCACATAGTTACCCCTGGGTCTGTGTGTCCTAACCTCCTCTTCTTATAGGACACCAATCACACTGAATTAAGGCCCATCTGAAAGACCTCATTTTAACTTACCTCATTAAAAATCTTATCTCCAAACACAGTCACATTCTAAGGTACAGGGGGGTTAGGAATTCAATATATGAATTTTGAGGGGACACATTCAGCCTAGAACACATACATTGTATATTTGTGGACCTTTTATTAGATAAGTAATTGCATCTATATGAGCTAAGTCTTTCTTACAGTAAGCAAATATTTACTTATTTATATATTCCTAGTTGGTTATAGTTTATTTTGGGGGGGGAACAGGGCAGTATATTTCTGGTGATTTCCTTATCCCCCGGTTTAGGGCTTATGTCACCAAGTCAGAGGAGGAATGCCAAGGTTTTTCCTACTAGGAATTTTATCCTTATCAACTAGAAGCCACATCATTAACAATCTCTGCCTTACCTAACCACACTACCCTGTGAATGTTACTTCATGAGACGCGCCAACCTCCCGACTCTGGATATGGGATTCTTAGCTGTGCCACAGTGTGTGGTGCTAGCTCTCCCCACCCCCCGGCGTAGGGGCTTTCCAGCTTACAAATTTCTACGAAAATAACTAACCAAGGTATAAACAAGAACACAATTCCCAGGTCTGCTGTGCGTTCATCCTCACTGCTGACACAAGGTATATAATCCCACAGTTAGCCATCATAGTTATATTTTATATATTCAAGTTAATAACTTTAATCCATTTCATATTTCCCTCTGGAACTTGGATTAGTATCACCAGACTTAATTCAACATGAGAGTCTTCATTTCTATCACTGGATGGGTTTCTGATGTCTCCTTCCCCTGGTACAACATCCATCCAATCTGTAACCCGGTCCTGTTGATTCCTCCTTGGTGACAGTACATGAATACATCCTCATCTTTCATTTTCAGATTTGTGGCCAATAACACATTTGGGCTCATGCCATCTCATTTGACTTACTGAATGGTTTCCCTACACATTCTTCTGGCTCCACTGTCAGATCAATCTTTCTAATACATCTGCAGCACTGCCTTGCTTACCGACTTCAATAGCTGCCCTCCTCACCCTCTTGCTGACCAGCGCCTGTGGGGGGCTCATCAAAATATAATTCGAAAAGCACTACCTTATATAAACCATCTGTTCCAACATGGTTTCCTCATTGCATCTCTTGGAGTGTACGCTTTTTGCCTGGTATGCCTCCTTCTCTATCTTTCCTCCTCTCCTTTCTTTTCTTTCTTTTTTTTTTTTCTTGCTTAATTAAACCACATATTTTTCTTCAAAAGCCAACCCTCTTCCATAAACTTCTAAATTATTTTTATTTTGAATTTTAGAAGAACTTGTCAAGATTAGTCATTTTGCATTTAGTATATTCTATTTTAGATTGCCTGACCTGGTTTTTAATATATATAACTGGCTTCCAAAATAGATAATTTCCTCACACATAGTAAGGATTTGGTACTAGTTGATACTATGCATATAGGTAGCTTTGTGTTTATTTAACCTCTGTATTGAATAGAAGAAGTCAAATACATAGAATTTTCCTAACACCTCTGTCTTATAAGAGTAAAATAATGCATTTCACTTGCAACATGGGAAAGATTAAATGTCAATGAACAGCGAGACAATTTTTAAGGGCCACCGTTATTAATATTATAAGTTGTTACTGCTCCAACATGAATACAATGGAGTAAGTTATTACTAACATCTGTAATATTTTCTATGTCTCATTTTTTATTTTTTGGTTTATTTTTTTTAACACTGGTGTCTACTATAGATGTTTGCAACCTGGGAGGTCAGGCATAAAATCAAAGC